CTCCTTGCAAAAGAAAACATGGCCAGTGTCCATGAAGTCTTCTAAGCCAGGGAATGACATCTTAATGCCTTTAAATCAATCTGCCCAAGTGAGCCCAAGATGTCTCCTCCCCATCATCAGAAAGTTAGGAAAGTTCTATCATGTGAAGTTAACTTATTCTTCCTCTTATGTTCATTTCGGAGAGCCCTTACTATCCCAAGTAAAGAAAGGATCCTATTTTGAGAGCAAAATTAGCAAGGGAGCATTACATGCCAACTCTGCTCATTCAGTAGCAGTTGACCAGTATGCTGTATTAAGGATTCTGGAGCCATATCCTAGCTCAACCCACAAGGATGCCATGATCAATTTGTGCAATATGCATTGGCCATGGTAGGGGCTGGCAGCCCTATGCCAGATATTTGCCATGTCTGTTTTAGAACCCCAGACAAATCTACTTTTCTAGGTCAAAGTTCATTAATTTTATCAATAACAGTCTATTTCATTCCAGTGGGGGTTTTTTGTTTAAAATTTTTAAAAATATGTTTATATTGATTTCAGAGAGAGGGATAGAAATATCGATGAGAGAAAAACATCAATCAGCTGCTTCCTACACACCCACTACGGGGGATTGAGCTGGAAACACTGACAGGTGCCCCAACCAGGGATCGAACTGACAACCTCCTGGTGCATGGGATCACCCTCAACCAACTGAGCCACACCAGCCAGGCTCCGTGTTTAAAATGTGATACAAATGTCTCCTTCCTAATGGTTAATGCAGTTCAAGCATGAGATATATTATTTTGCTACAAGTGGTGGTACCAGGATCTCATCTCAGAATCTTACTCAGTACATGAGTTGAGCATGTTATATACCAATCATTGGCAAACCTGGCATATCTATACTAATAAAAGGGTAATATGCTAATTAGACTGGACATCCTTCCAGACAATGCTACAGTGGCAGGGACCGAGGCAGAGGCAGTTAAGGGCGATCAGGCTTGCAAGGGAGGGCAGTTAGGGGTGATCAGGCTGGCAGGGGAGCAGTTAGCAGGGAATCAGGCCAGCAGGTAGAGGCGGTTAGGGGGGGTCAGGGGGGGGGGCAGGGGGGGGTTAGGTGTCAGTGATCCCAGATTATGAGAGGGATGTCTGACTGCTGGATGTCCCTTGTGGAATCAGGCCTAAACCAGCAGTTGGACATCCCCCAAGGGGTCACAGATTGGAGAGGGTGCAGGCGGGGCTGAGGAACCCCCACCCCACCCCCTTGCATGAATTTCGTGCACTGGGCCTCTAGTTATATATAACAATCATCCTTTTTCAAGGTCCCTAATTCATAAAATAATATACATCATACGAAACAATTCATACATACTAGTTTTCATCTGAAATCTAATGTGCCATTAGTTAAGGGATCAAGATGACACAGTGCATAACAATTGATTATAATTAGGACCTTGAATATTTCTTGCCAGGACAGCTATATTTTGAGGAAAGTGTCTAGACAAAATGGCTAATATTGGTTAGTTTTAAAGTTAATGGTCGTAGAAAACCTAAAAAAAGAGTCCATAGGAATATAGGAGTACAAAATAATTCAAAAAAAGCTGCCTGTTTAATAAGCACTTTTAAAAATACAAATTTAAGTTAAATGCACTTGCATGGTTTCAAAAAAACCTTAAAATGAAAAAAATGGCAAGAAATAATAGAAAGATCAAATAGATCTGATCAAATAGATCAAGAATACTTAATTTGAGCCATAACCAGTTTGGCTCAGTGGATAGAGTGTCGGCCTGTGGACTTAAGGGTCCTGGGTTCGATTCCGGTCAAGGGCATGTACCTTGGTTGTGGGCACATCCCCAGAAGGGGGTGTGCAGGAGGCAACTGATCAGTTACTCTCTCATCATGTTTCTAACACTCTATCCCTCTCCCTTCCTCTCCGTAAAAAGTCAATAAAATATATATTTTTTTTAAAAGAATACTTAATTTGAGATAAGCTGGTCTTTAGAAGAATTGATCCTTAGGCAAAAGAGTTTTTTGGCAATGTGACTGCAGGCCAGTTGGCTTTCAAACTGGTTTTAAACAAGATGGGAGGCAAGGGAAACAGTGAGGGGACAAGATTTGAACCAGGATGTTTGAGAGGCAGAGATGGTGAATACAAGACATACGAGGAAGCAGAGTCTATCAGGGCTGCTCTGAAGGAGGGGCAAAGGCTGATTCCCAGCTTTTGGACCTGGGTGACTGCTGGCAGCATCATCCACTGAGACAGTGAATGCAGGCTCCTTGGTCAAAATAAAACTTGGGGAAATACTGGCCTAGAAGAGAAGCATAGAGATGGCCTCATCAAATCTTGCTTCCAAGTGGAGTTGCCAACCTGCATCACTGGTCTCCAAGAGTTGTTTAAATCCCTTTCTTTCCTCCCAGACCACAGACTCCCAGCTCACCACTGCCTCCACTAGCAGTAGCCTCCCTCTTTACCCAAAACCAGTTCCTTTTGTCAGAGAGACCACAGTTCCTTACAGGCAGGCATCATGTCCAATTCATCTTGTCTCTCCACTCCTCCCCCAATGAACGGGCGTTGAAGGAATACATGCATGAATTCAAGCATGTAGAAGTGACCACACAATGACCAATGAAAGGCCTACTATGGCCTTCACCGTCCTGGTGTCAGAGCACCCAAGAGACAAAGAAGTGTCCCTGGCCCTCTGAGGACTGCACAGGGGAGATGGACAGTTGAGTGTGGGCAGTAGAAGTGGAGAGAAGTATCAGGAGAACTGGGAGGAGGCAGATGGACAAGGGCAGAGTAGTCTTGGGAAGGACTTGAGTGATGTCACAGATGTAGAAAGCAGAAGGCATGGATATAAGGAAAAGCAGAGAGCAGAGTGAACAATAAAAGCAGGTCATGGGGATGGGTAAGCCTGGCATCTGTAACACATCAAGGTCAGCCTGTTTAGGAATCTCACAACCCAGAAAGGGAAAAGGGTGACGACCCTCACATGAGCTCTATGTCATTCAACCAGTCATGTGAAATTAGAGAAGCTTCCCCACACACTCCAGCTCCCCAACTCATCCCTGGTTAAACACAGGCTCTGTGAACTGGCCAGCCAGCCTCAGGCCAATAGGGAACACCTATGTGAGACTTTGTTTATCCTAAATGCTCCCAGGGATGTCTCTATCAAACTAAAACTGTGATTAAAGGAAGAGCTCCTGTCAGCTCTCTGGGGCGGCCTGTGTGGACAGCAACAGCAAAATCAAGAAGAGAAATTAAGCCTATTTCAGCCAAACAGCCAGTTTCTAAGAACCCAATGGGGCATGACTTATTTTAAAAAGCATATCCATACAACTGGCATCCAGCCAGAATGGCATGGGCCTCTGTGATGGTTTTGACCAAAGAATGGCATATAAAGTAGCCAACCAGCAATAAAAGTAACAACAGCAATAACAGTAAGAACTTACTGTAATTTAACCTTGTTTTCCCGTGCAGCTCTCTGGAGAGTGTCTAGTCTATAATTGACTCTTTATTTTCCATCCCTGTAGATATCTCTACTATTCTCCTTCAGACTTCCTCTAGGCTCTCTACGTCCTCCAAACATGGTGAAAGACACCAGGGTGATTGTATCTACTAAAGAATTTGTCTGGCCTGGCCCGTGTCGCTCAGTGGTTGAGCATCAAGAGGTCATTGGTTCAATTCCCAGTCAGGGTACATGTCCAGGTTGCAGGCTCGATCCCCAGTAGAGGGCATGCAGGAGGCAGCTGATGCATGTTGACATTCTCTCTCATCAATGTTTCTATCTCTCCCTCTCCCTTCCACTCTCTCTAAAATAAATAAAAACATATTTAAAAAAAGAAAAGAATTTGTCTGGTCTTTGTCCCTGGTTGCTGGGAGAGAACCTCTAACTCCTTGGAATTTCCCAGTGATAGGAGTACCTTAGATCTTCATGCTGTGCCCCTTGGATCACACCGGAGTTTGTACTGAGTGACTCAGGATTGGGGGGGCGCGGGGAGGAATACCCACCCCATCTGTCTGGGAAGGGGAGGGGGGCTGGAGGTTAAGTTCAATCATGTGGTCAGTGATTCAGTCAATCCTGCCAGTGTAATGACCCTTGTTCAGAAACTCTGAACATTGAAGCCCGTGTACACACTGCTGTGCCGAAAGGGTGCTGTGTGCTGAGTCCATGGGAGGGGACAGGGAAGCTCTGCACCAGGACCCTCCCTGCACCTCCTTATGCAGCTCTTCATTTGGCTGGTGCTTACTTGTATCCTTTATAATAAAACTATAATCACAAATGTAGTGACTGCCTGAGTTCTGTGAGTCATTCTAGCAAATTGTTCAATCTGAAGGGCTGGGGAAGCCTCTAAATTTGTAGTCAGTTGGTCGGAACCACAGGTAGCCTGGGGACCTCCAAACCTGCAGCTTGAGTCTCATGGGGAACCATGACCTTAAGCCTGTGGGATCTGCAGTAACTGAGTGGTCAGTGCCAGATTTGCACTGTGAAGTGTAGTAGTCCAAATCCATCCTATCTTAGGCCACAGGGGACATGCTGAACTCAGTCTGCATTTTCCAGGATTTTTTGTCTCCCTTACCCATCCACTCCCCCACTTCCACTGAAAACCCCATGTCCTCCAAAATCAGGGTATTTGAGACCCAAGGAGCAAGTGTGATCGTATCTACAGCACTGTGGGATAGAAACAGAGAATGGACCACCCCTCAGCAGCTGTGTGACTTCAGGCAAATTACTAAACCTCTCTGTGCTCAGTTCCCATCTCTGGAAGATGAGGCCAATGACCCCTCTTCCTGATGCAACAATTCAATGATGGAACTTATTTACACATGGAAGACACTTAATAATCACCAACCTGCTCCTCTCCTATTTTCAAACTCTCCCATACCCCAAACTCTCCTAGCCTCTCTACTCTCCCTGGATATCTGTTTTGGGTGCTGGGTCCACTGGCAACATGCTTATGATTTATATCCCAGGCCAGTAGGAAGCCAACCATTAAACCAAAAGTAAAAAGCAAGTAACCATTAACTTGAATAAAAAAAACATATTTACTTCAGTGGCTATAAAAGACACCATAAAATATAATATCCAGTATGTATCCTCATGATGAGTAACAGATTTTGCAAATTATTCTCTCAGGCCCCTGGGCACATCCAACTAGTCACGAAGAACAATTAATTCTTTCAGGAAATAAAGTGATTGCGACTCATCTGTGGTCAGTGGGAAATCTGCTTGTTGTATTATGCATAATGCAAACAGAAAATAAGACCCGAATTTGGGGGTTTTCTGCCCCTTGGATGGGGTGAATTAAATACAGTTCCTGTCCTTGAGCAAGGGTGCTCAGTAAGAGCTAGGGCCTAATGAATCTGGGTGTGACCCCTGTGGACAGTGACAGGGCAAAGAGAGGGAACCTGTCTCCAGCCAGCTCAGCGACCATGCTCCCCTCCAGCAAATTCAAACTTCCTGCAAGTTAAATGTGCCAGTGTGGGTGGGACTCACGGTCCACCCTGACACAGGAGGAATTAACGAAAGTGGGGAGACATCCGACCCAACAGCACCTGGAGAACACACGGGGACAGCAGTTAAAGCAGGTGTCCTGGAAACAGGAGATGTTCATTCTGGGAGAGGGGCAGACTGGCCACAGGCAATAAGGTAAAGCACAGGGTCCAGACAGGTGACAAGCGGGTTTCAGAGTGGAACCCTAGCCCCAGTAAGTGAGGTTCAGATTACAGTCTCCAGGACTGGGGGCATCACACGATGAACCAAGGGGCTAAGTCAGGAAGCAATTATTAGAACAAGGCAGGTGCCCAGTGAGAACCCAGGGGTTGCAGCTGAGCCTCTGAATTCCTGGCCTTGGGCTTCTTATCAGCTCCAATGAGGTCTAAGTCTTGGAGGATGAGAGAAACGTACAAGAAGCAGGAAGTGGCCCCACAGTGGCAAACTGGCAATGCAGAGGCAAGAAGCCAGGCAGAACACAATGGCACATGGTGTCTAGGTCCGCCCCTGCCTAATGGCCAAAGTGGATTCACTCCCACCTAGACTAAAAATCCCACCGAGCAAGACCTGAGGGGTTTCTTTACCCAAGGAGGTCCCCAGTACAGCAGTGAACCCATGGTTGTGGCACAGCCTGCCCTGGAGGCCAAGCCACACGCTAAGGGGCGACACCTGTGGGGAGTGTGAGGCCAAGGAGAGGGAACCTGTCTCAAGCAAGTTCAGAGACCCTGCTCCCCTCCAGCAAAATCAAACTTCCTACAAGTTAATGTGCCCTCTGTGGGATTCATGGGCCACCCTGACACAGGAAGAACTAATGGAAGTGGAGAGACATCCCACCCAACAGCACACTCCAGGACTCAGAAAGCAGACTGTGTGCCATCTCCCTGGATAAGGAGAGAAACTACTGCATGGTCAGCTTGTGGTTCAGACAGGGCTGTGGTGGGACAGGAATCCCAGAGGTGGAGTAAGGTGGTGCCACAATGACCTCAGGACTCCAGACCACCGTGTGGCAGAAACAGGGCAACTGGTAAAGTAACGGCTGAGTGGAAAGACCCTGTGCCCGCCATAGAGTCACACTGGAAAAGGGAAGGGGATAGAAAGTCCACTCAGTATGGAGCAGGCAACAGCCAGCAAAGCAGGGCCAAGACCCAGCTGGCCAGCCTCAGCCCCTTCACACGCAGAATGAGTTCATGGAGGCTGATCTGCCACAGGCTGATGGTCTCACTGAAGGAGATCTGGGTCCTTCTGAAGAATGAACAGGTGTTCTTCTTGTTGTGCCTGCAGGAGGAGCAAGAAGAAAGGAGGGAAGAGAGTTAAAGAGGAAAGAGACACTCAGGACCATTTAGAAAAACTTAAGAGAGTGGCTTTGCCAAGTCACCAGCTCCCTGCCCCAATGGATGAATCCTGGTCACGGATCAGACCATTGCCCAAGCAGAGACCAGAGGAACTCAACTATTCCTAGGAGTTTTCCAGATAAGTAGGATAAGCAGGGGCAGCTGTCTCATGGGCATCGAAAGCATAGTGGACCCACTAAGTACAATGTTTCAATGCTTCCATTTTTCCAAAAGCAGAGTTAATATTTATCAAACCAAGAATCCCCCAAACTCAAATATAAAAGTTTTCCCACACTTCTGAAGGTCAGAGTCACCTGAAAACCTGGTCAGGTGGTCCTAAGAGGCTGAAGCCATTATGGATGCAGCCCAGCTCAATCCCTCTGCACCAGCAAAAGGGCATGATGAAAACTGGTGTTTCTGATGATGACCTAGTCACAACTTCGTTTTCGGGGCCCTCAAAGGAAGAATGAATCATGTTCAGCCCTTTCCGTGTACAGTCTATGTTGCTATAATCTAATGTGATATTTGATAGTGGGTACATGATATATGTGGTCAACTCTCCCTTCACCAAATAGTTGGCTAAAATGACTCTTCCCCTGCCTGAGATGGATGGGCTGGGAGTTAACCATAGTCGAGGCCTTCTCTCTCAGGTGAGAACATTACACACATGAGCCTCCCCGTGTATTTGCCACCCTCAGATAGAGGGGCCTAGAACTCTCGCTCCTCTGCTGCTACCTCCCTGAGAAAGTACCCTTCCCTTCCTCATCAACACTCCAAGGATTATGAGGCATCTGAAAAGGTCTGAGATCACCCTGGCCGGTGTTTCTCAGTGAAGGATCATAGTTCAATTCCTGGTCAAGGGCACATACCCAGGTTGAAGGTTCCATCACAGGTCCAGATCGGGGTACATGTGGGAGGCAACCAATGGATGTGTCTCTCTCTTACCTATTTTTCTTTCTCTCTGGGTCTCCCCCACCCTTCCACTCTCTCTAAAAATCAATGGAAAAAATATCCTCTGATGAGGATTAAATGAATGAATGAAAGAATCTGAGATCCTGAGAGGACCTAGAGCCTGCTGGCAACACTTTCCTGAGTCTCAGCACACCTGCAGGGAAAAGAACACTGGCCTCACTGCCCGGCCAGTCCTGGGGAGGCAGGTCCTGGAACCAGACTGAGATGGGATGTGCACCTGATCCCAAGCCCAGGGGACACCTGGGATGGGACTAAGACTTTCAGAAAATATTTCAAACTTTACTGAGGGTAAGAATCGCCTGAAAAGCTTGACCAAGAGGGTGAGGTCCCAGAAACCACCATTTGAGCAAGTGCAGGTGGCTCTCTGGACTACCCAAAACACTGCCCTGAAGCATCAGCCAGTTCACTGGGGCTGTTCTCAGCCCCTAACTCTCTGCAGGGAGACCTGCAGGAGAAAGTGGAGGTGAGCAGGACTCCTGGGGTAGGCCAAGGAACTGGAGGGGAGGAGAGGCCGGAGCCCGCACTCACGTGGCCAGTGCTCTGACACAGCAGCGTGACATGTTGAGGAAGGAGCTGGCACTGGCACGGGTGCCCAGGGTGGCCTCGATGCCTCGCAGTAGGTCATTGGTCTTGAAGATGAGCAGCATCTGGCGTGGCACACGGTTGAGGAGCTGGCTGATCTGGGGGAGGTAGGTGGCTGCATTGTTGCGAATCTCGGTGTTCTAAAGCAGCAATAAGGAGACAGCAGTGGTTGGTGTGGGAAGTGGAGCCCAGGATGGCTGGTATCCAAGCCCATGACCTGAGGGCCTGCAAGGAAGCTCCAGGAGGGAGCTTCAAGCACAGCTGCCTTGGTACCACTAGAAACCCTCCCCAGAGGGAAGCTTAGCACAAGGAGCTTTGACAAACCATGATGGGACATCTTACCCCAACTTCTGGCCAAGCACTGGACCCAGTACCAGAGCACATCAATGGAGACCACAGGCACTTCTGCTGCCTCTGCTGTCCTAGCTCCCCACAGCCAAGGTCACCGTACCCATCCCCCAAGCCTCCAAACCAGTACTGACTAGAAATCTACCTCACCAACTATTTGATGAGGGTAGAGTGTGCCAGTCTCTAAGCCCAGAGGTCCATTCTGGAATTACTCTCCAAGGCTTCTTCACTGGCCACCAACTTCAGGCCACGCCTGGAAGGAGCTCTAGAAGCTGGTACTGCTGAGTCATGTCCCCCATCCCTCAGCCCAGCCCAGGATGGTGCATTTCATCAGTCTGAGCTCCTGACTCAAACCCAGCTCCAAAGTCGTGCCCATGCCCTGCATGACTCTGCACCTCAGCCAGAGTCCCTGCCACCCACACAGTCATGCCTATCACTGTCCTCCACTCGGGACAGTGCCCAAGGTCCTGATGCCCCAGAACAGGATCCAGGGCTCGCTAGTCCTTATCCCATTCTGGTGTGTAATTTGGGATCTGACTTCCCACCCTTCCCTGTCCCAAGCTTCACATGGCTCTTGGCAGATAAGTGCCCCCAACCAGAGTCCTGAGTATGACAGTGAGGCTCTGACCCCTCCTCAGTTTCCAGAGAAACGACAATGACAATAATGATGGTGACAATGACAATAATGATGGTGACAATGACAAGGGCCAACACATACAGTGCATTCACCCAGTAAGCTGGGCACTTTGAAAATGCTTACGTGTATTAACTCATTGAATCCTCACAACACCCCTATCAGGCAAGGGGATTACCCCCTCTGAGAAGGAAACTGAGACACTGAGAAATTAAGTAACTTGCCCAAGATCCACAGCTAATAAGTGATGAGTCGGAATTCAAACTCAGGCAGTCCAGCTCCCGAGCCCATGCCCTCATCACCAGGCTATACTGCCTCTCACTCACTGCGGACTCTGTGAGCCTGGGCAAGTCCTTTCACCTCTTCCAAGCAGTGTCCCCACCTAAACGCTGGAGTGCTCATATCCTCTGTGCCTGCCTCTCAGCAATACCAAGAGGGCATCGGAGATAAGGCACAGAGAGGTGCTCAGTGCCAACCGCAGTCACGAGGGGCCCAGCAGTGCTGCCAAAAACCTCCCCGCCTGGCCGCTCTCTGCAGCAGAAGCGGAACTCTCTGCCCTTTCAGGAACACGTGTGCACAGCTGATAACCAAGCTGCTGTGAAACTCTAAATGTCCCTCAGGCAGGAGCTATCAGACTGGAACATCGCACCGCGCAGCCAGACACCAAGAGGCTGTCTGCCTGCCTCCACCTCCCATCACAGCTGTGGGTCACCCAGGAGGGCTAAAACCTTATCTAAGCCTGCTCACCACAGGGATCCCCCTCTCACCAAGGGAGGGACTGGCCCCACCAGAGCCCCTGCAGCCAAATGAAGGCACCTGCGCCCATCCAGACTACCCCACAGCGGGGGTCACAGCCTTCAACCTGGACACATCCTGATGGCGGGTGTCTGCAGAAGGCCCCAATGGGTGCCTATCTGACAGCCACCCATCTCCCATTCCCCATTGTTAAAAGGACCCCATTTTTGTTCATTTGACCCCTTGGGTCATTGCTCCTCAGGAAGGCAGAGCTCCTCCCTAGCTCCTGATCATTGGTTGATCTCAGCCAATACTGGTTCTGAGCTCAATGTGATATGTGACATGATTTTGGCCAATGAGACACAAGGGGGAGTCTTTTGAAGGACTTCTGGGGAAGGTTTCCTTGCTCTTAAGTAACAATATGTGAGAAGAAATAGCCCTCATTCTCACTTCTGGACACCAAGGAATTAAGATGCACAGCTTGGACCTGCCACAGTCATCTCGGAATGATGAGAGGAAAACCAAGAGAATCACAGATGAGTCAGCCCAGAGCCCTGAGACTGTGACCTACTCAACCAACCTGGACCCACCCACCTCCAGGCTGCTTGTCATAGAGAGAGCAAATGCCTAATTGTTTAAGCTACTTGTGGTTGAAAAAAACATCTTCCTTGATACAATGTTGGAGGTTCCCTAATTCTAAATAAGACTAGGACTCAGAAAACTGAGCCCTCACATCTCAGAGTCTGGGCTGGCCTGGAGTGGCTATGTTTATCCTCTACCTGGGTTTTTGTCCAAAGTAAGAAAATGGAGTACACGTCTCCACAATCTACACAAACGCCTCTCTACTGGACCTGGTCCCAGAACCGCAGAGACCTTATAAAAGAGATGCACCAGCTGGGCATGGCTCAGTGGTTGAGCATCGACCTACGAACCAGGAGGTCAAGGTGCGATTCCCAGACAGGGCACATGCCCGGGTTACGGGCTTGATCCCCATTGTGGGGCAGCATGCAAGAGGCAGCCAATCAATGATTCTCTCTCATCATTGATGTTTCTATCTCTCACCCTCTCTCTTCCTCTCTGAAATCAATAAAAACATTTTTAAGAGAGTGGCACCAGACAGGATGCCTGCCTTCCAGGTACTTACCAACTAGTCAGAGTCCATATAAGTATACAAATAGCTAACTCTGAGACACAATATAAGCTGCTGGCACATGAGTGATCCAAGTATTAAGGGATCACTTTTGGCAAAAGCATGAGGAGAGGCCTCCAGGGCTGGTGCTATGGACTGAATTGTGCCTCCCACCAAATCCCTAAGATGAAGTTCTAACGCCAGTGTGACTACTCAGAGACAGGGCCTTTAAAGAGGTAATTAAAGTTAAGTGAATTCATAAAGGGGACCCTAATTCGATAGGACTGATGTCCTTTCCAAAAGAGGAAGAGAGATCAGGAGTGTGTACACACAAAAGAAAAGCCATGTGAGGATACAATGAGAAGGCAGCCATCTGCAAGCCAGGAAGAGAGCCCTCACCAGAAACTAATCCTGATGATACTTTGATATTGGACTTTGAGCTCCAGAACTGTGAGAAAATAAATTTCTACTGTTAAGACATCTGGTTGGTGGTATTCTATTATGGCAACCCAAGCAGATTAGTACACTAGCATTTATGCTGGGCCTTTATGAATGAATAACAAATGCAAAAATAAAATTCAAACTTAGTTAATAAAAACAGATATCATTTACTGAGTACCTACTCGTGCCATGTGATCTTGTCCATTCTGTGACGTTAAATACCATCTATGTGCTAAGGACTCACAAATGTATATTTCAAGCTTCGACCTCTTCTTTGAGCTCCAGGCTTAACTGCCCACCTCTATCTGAATGCTCAAGAGAATTACAGATAGACTACTGGTACCCTCACCCCAAATATGTCCTTCCCAACATCTTCCCTATGTCAGGAGGTGACACCACTCTCCACATCCTGTAATTTACCCCAAGAAGCTATGAGACCACTTTTCATCCTCTCTACATCCAAGCAAACAGAAAAGCCGCTCAGTCTTAAGTCCAAAATGCAATCTGGTTCCATTTGCTTCTCTCCACCTCCATTGCCATAAGTGTAGTCTGAGCCCCCAGCACCTCTCCAATGTGAAGTTTTACCCCAGCCTCCTAATTAATCACCCCATTGCTCATCTTGCCCCACTCCAGAGAGATACTTAAAATAGCAAATCTGAGCATATCTTTTTCCTGCTTAAAACCTGTCAAAGGCTTTGCTCTGTACTGAGAATTAATCTGAACTTTTCCCTATGGCTTATCGGCCCTGAACAATGCTTCCTCTGCCCAGTGCTCCAAATTCTTCTCATTCCATCATCCACTCACCACACTCCAGACTACACCAAACTCTCCTTTCCCCAGGCCATCATAGCACAGTATGTGCCCTCTGCCTGGGATGCTTTCTCCAAGCTCTTCCTGTGGCCAGTGCCTTCCTTGTCCTTTGGGCTCAGCTTAAAAGTCAACTCCTCAAAGATCTCTTCTCTGAGCACCCAAATGACAGCTCCCCATCACAAGCTTGTTTCCTCCCTGATACCTCCAACCTGCAATTATTCCATTTACTTGCTTGTTCACTTGTTTACTGTCTGTCTCCCTCAACCACAGTACAAATTACAAAGACAGACTGCTCATCACTGGATGTGCAGCTCCAAGTCCAGTACCCAGCAAAAACCTATGTTTGCTCAATGAAGGCACTTAGGAGCTAGAGAGGCACTCTCCAGGCATTATCAGTAAAGCAGAAATTATCCTCCCTATTCAACCAAGAAGGGAGACTATTGCTCTTCTTCTGAGGTGACCAGCTTTAAAGCTGTGTAGGCCAAGGGCAGCTGGTGGTCATCTTTGCCACCACACTTGCTGGGGAGTGATGTCAACTTAGAAGAAAACAGAACCAAGAGATGGCAATGGGTGGCTTCTTTGGTGACATCGTTTGACACATTGGATCCAGCCATTCCTAAAACCACCTACTACAAGGCAGCTTACAGGGGACTGCCCCACCCCCACCCCCCAAGGCTCCAAGAGGTGACAAAAACTATCCAGGGTCATGCCACCAGGAAGAGCAGTGCTGCACCTAGAACCCAGGTCTTTCTAACTGCATAAACAGGATCCCGCCCCTTGTGGTGAGCCCGAGCACATCCCCACAAAACTGCACAAATCTAACAAACTGACAGACTGGGAATACAGAAGTCCACTCCATGACAGATTGAGAAACTAGGGATGGAGGGAGCTCTGAACCAGGAAGAAGGAGTGGCCACATACTAGTAAGTCCCTGTGATAGGGGCAGAAGTGAAAATGGATTGGTCTCAGCCCAGACACCATGGAACTATTGTCTGGATCCAATGAAGAAATGAACTACAAAAAAAAAAAAAAAAAAAGGTATTTCATTAAAAACTCCATGTTCCTCCAAGTCCTTACTCTCTGTGTGCAGACAGTGAAACCACCACGAGGAAGGTCTGGCGGGGCAGGGCCTCAGTCAGCCCTGCCTCCAGCCTCCTCCACCCACCTAAGACTGACACACGATGAGAAACCAAGATGGCGGCATAGGTAAACACCAGAAATTGCTGCCTCCCACAACAAACTCAAAAATACAACTAAAAGACAAAATGGACATCATCCAGAACAACAGGAAGGCTGGCTGAGTGGAAATTCTACAACTAGAAGGAAAGAGAAAAGCACACTGAGACTCAGAGGAGCTGCAGAGGTGGAGTGCAGAGGTACGGAGGCACACGCGGCAAGGGCTGGCGACTGAGGACACAGCTGTCTTTTCGAATCGGGAAGGAGCCACAAGCCCTCGACTGCTCTGAACTCCAGTTCCGGGTTAGTCTCTGGGGATCTAGGCTCATACGGGGAGAAACTGGACTGTCTGGCAGTGGGCAGAACGTGGAA